TTAACAAATGTTAGACTAGATAAAAAAACAGTAGTTGATGCTTGTGTGCAATTGGTTACTACCAATGGTCGACCATTTCAGTTACTTGATGATTCTGGCTTTAAAATGATCATGAATCCAATATTTAATGCTATCGGTGATGGTAAGTTACCAAATTCAGTTGTATTCTAAATTATTGATTTATTTTTCAATTTTTTAATATTGTTTTTAAATAACCTTAACATTTTTTTAATTATAAGGTGTGCCTGCCTATTGGCATAATATATTTTGTTATGTGAAGTACCTATATATAATATATGGAACGGTGAAAATGTGAAATAAATAAAATATCTTTAATATAATCAACAGTCAAAAGTCAAAACAACTTTTTGGCTATTCAATTTTAATTCAACTTACATTTTTATATGTTAACTTATAACATTGAAATTAATTGATGAAGATTTCTCATCCTGAATTTGGCCAACTTTCATTAATTATTTCACCTATTAATTTATTAAACTCAATTATTGCAAGAGAATAATTCATAGCAATACCTACTTTAAAATAAAATAATTTAATTTTATGTACCATTTATCATTAATAGGTTTTAGAATGAACTCTCATAATATAAAAAAACACATAAATGAACACGCAGAAAGTATTATAAAAAGTATTAAAGCAGATATCGATAAAAATTAATATCTCTAAAAGTTGATTGCGTAACCAGATTGAATAGATCAATCATAGGAGTAAATATTCAATATTTTAAAGATGAGAAATTAAATATCAAAACAATTGGAATGACAGAACTTTTTAACTGTCATACATCAGAATATTTAAAACAAGTAGTAAGTCCAACACTTATAAATTTACTGCAGCATATAAATAAGCGAGTAAATAATTTTATTTAAAGTTATGAAAAAAAAAAATGATGATAATATTATTATTTATTAATTATTAGTATAGTGGAGTCAATTTATTTTATAAGCTAATATATGTCTATCAAAGTCCACTTATTTATCTATTTATTTTATTTCATTTTTAGTTAATAAATATTTTGAGAAAGTTTAATATTGACAACCGCCAAGTTTTTTCCATCACTTGTGATAATGGTGCTAATATTGTTAAAATGGTACGTATCCTTAACGATACAGATGAGGTACATGAAGATGATGGTGCAAGCTCTGGGTCTGACTCGGATGAAATAGAAAGTCCTATCTCAGGAGGTAATAATTTCAATCTTAAAAAAAAAAAAAACCATTATTAATTAAATTGAAATATCTTCATAAAATATATTTATTAGATACAGATTATTTGACAGAAAGTCAGTTAAATACCGTTTTATTGGAAGGAGAAGACTTCAGTGATTTTAGTGCTGATGATTTACAAAATGAAATAGTTGCAGCCATGAGCTATAATGAACAAGACCCATTAACTCAGTGTGTACGTTGTTCGGCTCATACACTGCAGTTGTGCATTGAGAATGGACTTAAAGTAGAAGTTATTAAGTCACTTTTAACAAAAGCAAGAAAAGTAATTTATATTATATTTATTATTTATATTTCATAGGCTATACAAATTTAAATGTAAAATTGTAAATACAAAATATCTTTATACGTACTCAAAGGTGGGCATAATCTACATATAACTTATAACTTAAAAACTTGATTTTTTTTTTTTACTTATCAAATATTAAAAAAAAAATTAACTAGTTAGAAATTTAGCATGTACAATATTTTCTAATCAACTTAATAACTAAGCTAGTTATAAAAATCCATAGAAATAACTTTTACCAGTCAATATTTAAGTAGGTTTAATCTATAAAGTAATATTAAAAATTTGTCATAAAAATATAAAATCAATTATAATTTCAAATGTTTACTTTGTTGCCTAAATACACCTCTTGAGTCTTGGGTCTTGGCTTTTCAAATGCCTCATATATTATTTAAGAAATGTAATCATTATCAAACAAGTACTTTTAAATGTTAATTATCTAACTATTTTGGATTAGATATACTCCTTGTACAATACTATATAATATATTAATATGTTAACATTTTATAAATTGCAGGTTGTGAAAGTTCTTCGCACGCAGTCATATGCTGCACTTTTAAAATGTTTAAAACAGGCTGTTCTAGATAACGCAACTAGGTGGGATACTACATATTTGATGTTAGTTCGTTTGTATGAACTGAAAAAGTTTTGTGATGATCACCATCAAATTAATAATGACTTAAAAATAAGTGATACTAATTGGCAACGGTTTAATAATTTGGTAAACATGTTATTCTATTTAATAAATTATGATGCATTTCTGTAATATTAACTTATTAAAATTTGTTTAGATTGAAACTCTTCAACCAGCATATATGGCTTCTAAAAAGCTTCAAAGAAGTAATTTAACTCTTGGTGATTTTTATGGTGTGTGGATTCAAACCAAACAAAAACTTAATAGAATTGGTTCAGCATTATCTATTGCTATTTTTAATAATATGGAAACTCGTGAATCTAAATTATTAGAGAATGATATATTTATTGCAGGTAATTTTTTTTAGCAAATAATTTTTAAAATTTTTCTTTTTTCTTATTGATTTTATTTACAGCAATTTATTTGGATCCACGGTATATGTGTTTATTAACTGATTTAAATAAAAAGAAAGCTGTAGATTACCTACTTAAAGTATGGGATTTAAAAAATGCATTAACGTCCGTAGGGGTTAGTTACACACTTACACTTAAATAAAATATTTTTATTGGATATAATTAAGCTACAATTGTTTCTTGGTAGTGTTTGGTTCCATTTTTTTTTTATTGTTATTTAATCCACCACTTTTTCTATTGGATGACTTATGATATAGATGTACTTGATAAATATTATGATATATTATATTGACTTATGTTTTCATAGAATACAGTAGAATCAAACTTATTAGAGCAGCATAATTCAGAAGATGATATTACTGACACAAACAATGAAGATGATGATGATTTTGAGGGTTATCTTAGAACTCGTGCTACAAATTCTTCTCAAAACAGTCAAAACTCAATATCTACAATAAATTCTTCTCAAGGGTCTAATTCAATATTAAATTCTAAACTAGAGGACTTTGGAAATATAAACAGACTGTCTTATAAAGAAGATATTGTTAACTTTTGGTCGGAAAATAAAAATGAAATGCCTGAACTATATCAATTAGCACAAATTCTTATGGCGGTACCGGCTACTCAGGTACTAAATTTCACATTCATTATTTATTTCTTATTAATTATTTGTCATAATACTCATAATGTCTGCATAATACTATTTTGCTTTTATGTTAGTTAATATAATCAACTAAAAATATATTTCAATATTTTTGTTTAGGTCAGCGTGGAGCGTAGTTTCTCCGGATTGAAATTCATATTGTCTGACTTGAGAAATGCTATTGGTCATGATATTTTGGAAAATATTTTAATCATTAGAGGAAATGCTAATACAAACTAGCCAATATAATAGTTTATTATGTTAATTTATAAAGTAATTTCTTTATTCTTGATATTATTATCAAAACAGTATTATTATTTATTAAACCATTATAAGTAAACCTATTACTGTTATCGTCAATTTTTTTTTAGACCTGGTTCACCTACTCCAAGTAAGCTAAGCTTAAATTGAGAGTGTAGACTTATTTTAATTTATAATACAATGATAATTCAGATTGCACTTTTTAATTTTTATATTAGAGTAGACTCATATGCCTTTAGAATTTAGATTCAATAAAGTGTTTAAACAATCAACAAAGTACCTACCAAATTTTAAGAACTAAATTCTTTTAACTTTTAAGGCAGATAGCTTTGTTATAACTTATAAATATATTTTATTGATAAGGAATAAACATAGGTGCATTATATAGGATTTTATTTATTTTTTACAGTGGTAACTACTTAGATACACAGTATTTTATCAAAAAGTCTGACGTCTGTTACTGTCTTAAATCTTAATTAATATTATTTAATATTCCTTTCATTTATGGTAAAAAGTAAAAACTAAGTAGTGTATGAACCAATTTAATAAAAGTTACACAACTTAAGTTTTATAAGTTATGTGTAATTTTGCTGTATTCCCTATGGCCTATTTAGTATTTCCCTGTTAGTTATAGAAAATATAAATAACTTCTAAGCCTAACTGCAAAGCGATTTAAAATTTAAAGTGCTATAAATTATTAATTTTATAAAAATATATGGTTATCTACTATTTATTTGTATAAAATAACTGCAAAATGGCAAAATATTTGTCTCACTTATCTACTTAAGATTTTGCCACATCCCACATATTGTTTCTATCTAAACAGTGATCATAGAAAATCTACATAGATAATAAATGTACAGACAGACTACAGACTGTATTACTGTAATGACTGTAATCTAGAAATTCGCTAAACTAGACCAGTTTAAAATTATCCCACATTATCCCGCACCGGGATAATGAACCATGTAAACGATATGGTCCAAACATCCCGGTGCATTATTTTTCACACCGGTTTAATCTAGCGAATTTGTAGAATGACTACTGGCAGTACTTACTACTTGCATACAAATTTAAATTTACAGTTTATTATAGTGGATTTAACAGTTGTTATGTGTTTATAAATAAGAATTGTAAAATGTAATACTAGATTATATTTTAATTTTCAATAGTATTAAATACTCAGGTAAATGTAAAACTGAATAACGTTTTAATTTTCAATAATGATAAACAGAATATTTGAATAACATTTAAGTTACCAATAACGATAAACGCATAACATGTATAACGTTTTCATTCTGTATAACGATAAACTCAAAACATGTATAACGTTTTAAATCTTAATAACGATAAACGCGAAAATTCTTTAACGTTTTAATTGAAAATAACGTTAAACGGAATTTTTTTTTCAAATTCGAGCCCTGTTTTATACAAGATTGGTTTTGGGTCTATCTTAGTCATGTTTACAATTTTTTTTTACATTACGTTACAATGAATAAAAATTATATTATCTACACTATTTGTCAAAATTAGTACACGATTGATTTTGGTGACATTTTGAATTGCACAAAACACCATTTTTACGGCATATACATCGATTAGTGGTGCATTTAGTGATACAAGTACATTTAAAAAAACCTTGTCCATTTCCAATTGAATGTTCTGTAGCTGCAGATCGTAGAGAAATTTGTTTTTCTTGAGGTATATCGCTTAATGATATAAGGTTTTCTGAACACGTAGTAAATTGGGAACGTGCATATAGCTGTTTTAAAATACCTATAATTTTAAAAGTTAAGGTATTATTTAAATGTAAATAATATGTAACAAATCTTATACATACCACTTTTACATCCAAGTTGATAGAACCCGTCTTCAGTAATTTTGAGAACCACAGCAATTACCGATCGAGGATCTCCCCTCCCTCTATCAACATCAGGAATTTTAAGTTGAACTGTTGAACCTTCTTTTGCTTCTGGAAATTTAGCATTTGATAAATTCTTCATTTTTTTCGCTTGTATTTCTAAGTTGCATTTTGTCGTTCTTCTGTTTGTTTGCGTTTTCTATTTTCGGTTGATGGTATTTCTTGTAATATAGTGTGTGGCAATATACTTGATGTTAGGCCAGTTTTAGGGTCAGTTCCAAACATCGCATTGTATGGGCTTCGTTTAATTCCAGAATGATAGGCTTTATTTTTCATAAATTGAACGAATCTGAGTCCTTCACTCCATTAATTGGTGTTATTATCTTGCATCCAAGTTGTCAATATGTTTTCAATATCTTGATTGGCTCGTTCAACACTGCCCTGCGACCGACTATGCCGTGGTTTCCCGTGAACGATATTTAAATCAGGCCACATCTCACGCAATGAATTAATTAGTTCATTACAAAATTCCCTACCATTGTCAGATTGAAGAGAAGCGGGGGCACCAAATAAACAAAAAATATCTAATAACACACATGCGACTTGTTCTGCTCGTTTTGAAGTTAAGGGTTTTAAAATACAAAATTTTGTTAAATGATCTTGATAGACACATATAAATTTAAAATCTCTATCAGGTTGTGATTGAAAATCTATAAGATCAATTTGACAGCGACTATTAAAATCGTTAAAAACCATTGGTTTGACTACAATACCTTTTTTTTGTGATTTTTTTTTCTGTTGACATGGAATACGCAAATTTAAATACAACTTCACATCAGCTTGGGTAATATTTTTATATTTTTTATTAAGTTCAAATAACATACGGTCCCTTCCTCCGTGTCTGATTGACTTATGAACACTGTTTAAAATGTCAAACATATCGTCTATCAAAACGTATATTTTGAAATTAGGATTGTTTTCATTAAATGGGTAAATTAATGTTTCGACTCCATTTATTGTTATTAAATCATAATGTTTCGCAAGCCAATAATCACGGGTTTGAGTTTTTTTAATTTTCATATTTTTGACGTCAGATATCAAATTTAAATATTTTTCACTAGATAAAATAGCACTATTATTTTTGTACTCACGTTTTTCAATTGATTCGTAAAATTTTTGTTTCATAAGAATCATTGTTTCATCCATATTGAATATATTTTTTAAAAAATTCAATCAAAAAATTAAAACACGTGTAGGTACTACAGCTTTATAATGCGTTAAATGTATAACTATGGTGTACTGCAAACAACTGGACGAGAAACAAACATATTATTTTATGTTCTACCACAACGAAATAATAAATTGATTGGAACGTTGGGTTAGATTTGATCGTCACTTATTATTGACGTTATCTCGCCTTATCTTAACGAAATCTAATGTATAAACTATAACTGAGCAATCGCGGGGAATTCATAAAATACCTAGTTAAATTTAATATTATATGTTTTATCGCATTGATTTGGTTAATGTATATAATAGCTAGGTATTTCATGAAATATCGCCATTAAATACTTTAACGCTAACATATACAAAGTTGTATTGGAACTCTAAGCCAATTTGCCTGGTTAAATCTTTGATTTTAAGTACGGTATACTGTACTATTGATACAAACACCTCTAGTGTGTGTACTATAAGTATATTATAAACTTTTAATAAATAATACTATTTCTGTATAATATATCTTTCATTACCATATTAATAAAAATACCGATTCATTAAAAACAAGTTTTTTTTTATTTTTAAAATAAAACAATATTAATCATGTTCAATAACATTGGCATGGAACAATGCGGTGGAACAAACGGTACGTCAAAACTTTCCCCACTTGGCGAGAGTGATAATATTATAGAAGTATCTCTTGCCAAAAAAAAAATATGGGGGCATATTCAAAAAGTAAGTCTTAAGAACAGGGTTAAGGATGTTGCCGATTACATTAGATTAAAATACCCATCTATAATAAACGAATCTGTTAAAATGTCTGATCCGAGAATAATAGATATTTGCAAAGAGGTATTTAAAACTAAAAATATCAAAAAACTAAGCAAGGACGTAGTAAAAGCATTGTCAGCGAGCAACTCAACGCTGTGTAAACTCATTAAAGGAACTAGAGAAAATAATATCCCTACAAACTGTTATACCTTACAAAAATGAGTTGGTACTACGTCCGTATCGAGCTGTAAATGAAATTTGTAGTCTGAAAAAAATTACGAAAAGTAAAAAGAACATAATGCGTTTACTCCGTAAGAGTGAAAGGTCTCATCAAATAAACGAGGAAATCTCTAAATCTGTAAATTGTGGTGAAGGCGTACATACATTTTTGCCGGTACACATCAGTGAGTCTAACGTTGACTACAATTTAGATGTCTGTGACAGAGTAGTGGAAATCGGTCAACACTCAAACATAAGTTGTAAGTCAAATAAACTAGGATTCCACGACAATTACGAAAAATTGACGGTCAGCAATTCAGGTAAGAATCCTTATGAAAATGAAAACATAACAGTGTTGACAAGCTGCAATAGAGAGTCTGATACAATTGACACATCCTCAAATGAAATACTGAAAAAGTTAGGCGAAAACTAGATTTTAAAGTACACTGTGACACAGAGTCAGAGACTTCAAAGTGTACAGTGATAAAGCAAAGAAATGAAACTTTTGAGATTGATGATGGTGTATGCAAACTTGATTGGACCTCTGACGATTTGAACAATAGTTTCCTTAGATGTGGTGAAATTCAAACGATTGAAGAGACAAATGACTCTTTGGTTTCTGACTGTTCTAATATTATCACTTCTACTCCAATTAGGTTAGAAGTAGACATTTCCAGGCAACAGGCATTTACACATTCACCGCAAGCCGTTAATTTTAGTTATCATAAAAGTTATGTTCACGGTAATGATTGTTCTCCTATGAAATCTATAGTGCTACCAAATGAGGCGGAGGTGATCGACGCTGTAACTCCAATAAAACTGCTTGGAACTATTGTCGCTTGCAGCACTCTTGAGGCAGATGCAAAAGCACTTCCCAAGAATTCTAAAAACATATTTCCTTTGACAATACGTGGTGATCTAGAAAATAAAAAAGAAAAAAGATATAATTTTTCATATCTTAACACCATAGAGGGAACTTTTGAGTTATCTATTTGTGAATGGAATGAACTTGAAAAGGTGTCTAATGAACATGGTAGAATGTCCTTAGACCTTAGAAATATGTTAATTAGAGATAAGTTTGTAACCGTTAATAACTCTTGTGTTCTGTCCATAAAAAATGTTAATAAAAATAGCAGCGGTGAATTCACTAGCATTTATGGTTACTGCAGACACAATACTTGTAAAAGTTTTAAGTTTGATTTTGAAAAAAAAAACTGAAAGTGCAGTTAAGGTATATGTACTTAGCAATCAAATAAACTATAGCCATGGAGGAAAATTAACAAACTTTCTTAGAGAACCGGAGCGAATGAGTTATCGAAAAGAGGCGGGTCACATAAAACCGTTGGCTTTGAGTCAAAAACATGTTATGAAATCTTCTCCTAGCAAAATAAAACGAGGGAACCTTCAACAAATAAGGTCAACCAGTGTGTATAACAGAGTGTCACACGAGACTTTGAGTAAGTTTGATTTCGATAGCGATGACAGAGTAGCTATGGTACAAATGGCTTCTGTAAACTCGGAATATGTGAAATACGTATCACACCCTCAAAGTCATAACTTTGAATGTTACATTTTCAGTAAAGAACAATTGATGGTTTTGAATAAACTAAAGCCAGTCACATTACATGTTGACGCGACGGGTACAGTCATAAGACCTACTACGTTAAAAAAAAAAACAAGAAAAACGTTTATTGTACTATGCGGCAGTAATAAAAGCAAACGATCACATGATGCCAGTTGCGGAATTCATAAGTACCGATCAATCGACAACAGCTATTTCCAGTTGGTTATATGCATTTAAACGGTTTGCAACAGAACACGGCTTTGACGTGTCAGATTTAATTGCGAATGTTACTAGTGATTTCTCTACGGCAATAATCAAATCGCTGGCACAGGCTTTTAACGGGTGCAAAGATGTCATTGACTACCTAGATCAATGTTATGATTACTTGTACGAAAATAAACAAATGAAATCAAAAATCATACTCAATTTGTGTTGCTGTCACTTGGTGAAAAACATTTCAGACGACGTGTTCAAGTACTATGGTGCAGTTGGCAAAAATAATAAAAACAAAGATCTTGCACGTATCATTGTTGGTTTTGTAACACCAGCATTCGACCTGAAAATCGCAAATGATTTGGATAAATGGTTTAAAGCACTTTGCACTGTTATACTTTCACCTTACCAAAATGGCGATGTCCAGAAATCCGTCGACTACCTGCTTAAACTTAACAGTAGCGATATGTCGGTGTTGAATTCGAAAGAGTATAAAGATTTTGAAAACATTTTGTCCTTAAATTGTGATGGAACGCAGGTAGATGATCTGAAAACAAACCCATCATCAAAGGGAAAATATAAAGCTTCAAAGTTTTATGGTCGTTTTGCGAAAATGTCGAGAGACATAAAAGCATCATTTACATCAGACAGTAAAGGCGTTCCAAATGAGTTTCACAACGAAGAATATTTCAGCGACTTGATGGGATCTGTTGTACCCGTCATACCAATGTGGACTTGTGTTATGTTATATTCCAAAATAAAAGTCTGCCATAGACCAAATAATTCTGGTGCAGAATTATGGTTTCATTATCTCAAAGGGAACAGCCTACAAGCAAAAAGTATGAAATGTAGTCGCTTCATAAGGTTTACTAGAGACAGGATAGAAAGTGTCACCAAGGAAGTCCTGTGGGACATACCCAACACGCGTTGTGCCATTCCCAAAAAACAAAATGTCGATTGCAATATTGTTCGGAAAAACAAAAGAGTCATATCATTAGATACTGTCACAGATCTGAGCGACGATGAAGACGCTGAACAGTGGAGAGCTAGAAAAAATAAAAAAATAGGTTATTTTAAGCAAGGCAGCTTAATGGCAAATATGAAAAAATTAAAACTTATTCAAACTATAAACGAGAAAACAGAGACAGTAGTTGATTTAACTACGATTAGTGATGATTAACTTGAATACTTTACAACACTAAGTTTCTCTTAGTTGGTGAGCAATAGTCAACAATAATAATTAATAGGTATAGTGAATTCATAATTGATGCAAATAACAAGATGTGTATAATGGACAGGAAAATATATTTTATTTTTTAATATATACCTATGAAACAAAATAACATTAATAGTTAAGATAGGTACCTACTAACATAATAAATCACTTGTGAGAAGCGTTGTTTTCTATAGGCCTACTGGGGATCATTTCAACGCAGAAAAAAAAAATGAAACGAATCCATAGCATTACCTCTTGGGTGGATTTGGAAAATGCACTTCTATAATAGTACATTATACATTATAATATTACTTTACCTGTAACAATAACATTTAACACTAACTGACATTCCACACTTACAGTAGCTTCAACACACTGCAATTGATCTGAAAACTTTTACTATACGTACAATAAGAACTCAGCAATAATAGCAGTGAACAAGTGACCCTAGGAAAAATGTCAGCAATAATTAGTGAAAACACGTAAGTAGTATATATTTGTGCTTTCTGAGCACCTTTTTTACAGGGAGATTTCTTCATTTCAAGGGGGAATTTCTACATGCTGCACCGTGTAACACATAATCTCAAAAACCCTAATGTTCCTTCTGAGCACCTTTTTTACAGGGAGATTTAATCATTTCAAGTGGGGCATTTCTACATGCTCCACCGTGTAACACAAATTGTACACAAGTAAAAGTTATGTATTGTGTACAACACAAGTACACAACACATAACTGTGTCTATATCATTTTGTTACACAAACAAAATAAATATGTTTTTACCATCAATGTATTACTCATAAGTGTTGGCAACACTGAACTTTTTATAGTCACTCGTACTAAATTTAAGTTAGCTATACATTTCTGTAACGAATAATCCGTTGTTAAACCAAGTTATGCTTTTTATTTTATTGTCTTGTTTCACTTATACATTTATTTTTTAAGTAAAAATTTCCAATTTAATGTTTTTTCTTTAAAATAAAAAAAACATGAACTTTCAAAAAACC